GCACTGAGGAGATCAGGACTCCATCTACAAGCCTGACATCCTGGATTTAATAAATGCTTCGTTTAAAGTTCTCCCCGTTTTTGAAAATGACAGGTGGGCTTTTCAGAGACAAAATCGAAGCATGGAGGACAATGAGTGTCAGACTTCAAAGACACAACTGTGTCAGGCTTCAAAGGATTCTCCCGTCTGAGATTTAGTATATTTGCAAATTTTTTTTTTGTTCTGGGTGATTTCAATGGCTTGCAAACTTTGGTTCTTAGTACAGTGCTATATACTTATAGGGCCTAGACAGGGCACATTTATAGCTGTGCACACTGACTCTATGCAGCTCTATACAAGGCAGCTTGTGATTTTTAGCTATACACTGTTTAGACTGGGGTGTTTAGCTATACAATGTAGCCTGTGGTCTTTAGCATGCAGTATGTAGCCTGTGGTCTTTAGCTATACATTGTTTAGCCTGTGGTCTGTAGCTATACACAATGTAGCCTGTGGTCTTTAGCTATACACAATGTAGCCTGTGGTCTTTAGCTATACAGTGTGTAGCCTGTGGTCTTTAGCTATACACAATGTAGCCTGTGGTCATTAGCTATATACTGTTTAGACTGGGGTGTTTAGCTATATAATGTAGCCTGGGGTCTTTAGCTGTACACAATGTAGCCTGTGGTCTTTAGCTGTACACAATGTAGCTTGGGGTCTTTAGCTGTACACAATGTAGCCTGTGGTCTTTAGCTGCTCATAATGTAGCCTGAATCTCTGCAGCTACACACAGTATAGCGAGTGGACTTTAGTTCCAGATGGCATATTTTGTGTCTTTTAGCTCTGCATATCTTAGTCTGTATGCTATTAGCCTGAGACACACCAGACTGTGTTCATGTGCTCCCCGTAGCATAGCCTGAACATAACGCAGCATCGATCCTTCGGCTTCTATTAAGTACGACGTAGTGTAGCTTGTGCTCTTAAGCTAAGCATAACTTAGCCTGTCTTGTGTAGCTGAATGTTGGGCAGTATGTGCTCTTTAGCTCTATGTGAGCATTGGTTATATGGTATATTTTTGGATGGTGTATGTTCTATTAATAAACTTGGCATGTATTGTGCTTTTAATTAACATGTTGCCGCCAGAGACTGTACCAAATTGTTTCAGATATCATTCCCTGCACCCTGAAACTGCAGCTAACGGAATAGCACCATTTAGCATAGCCAGCGCGGTCTATTTCCGTCATGCTTTCATTACCATTGTGCTGACACATTACGAGTCGAATGCGTTGATTTAATTGCTGTGTTTAATTTAACTTAGGTTATCAAATAGCACCCAGAAAAAAAAAATAAAAAATTATCGACCACGAACTAGCACCTCATTAATGTGGAACAGAGTGGCACGCCGCTTTATTAATCTTCAGAATAAAAACCGCCAACCTCAACTTGGTGCCCACAAGTTCAGATTGAGGTGGTGGTGGAGTAACGAGAAGATGCTGAGGACATTGGGTTGTAGCATCTGTCAAGTCAATTAACAAGTGCCACCTCAATACTGGCTTATCTCCGTTAGTCCGCAGTTGGCCATCCTAGACCTGCAGCATCACCACTTCTCCGTTCCCCAGGTACTCCAGCTAGTCTCTGGCCCTTGCAGGTTCCACTTCGCCTGAGCTAACGTTGATGGATAGCCGCTGTCATTCCCAAATATGTCCCGTCCCGAACTGATGAAAATATATACCCTGCCAAATTCCCCAAGTTCTTCCAAGACCTATTTTTATAGACATTCCCACCACGCTCGTCCTGTGAGTTTATTGAACATCCCTCACTTATTCTTCATTGCCGGCCATTTCAGAGATCACCACCCGTAATTAAATGAATGAGACGACGACACGACGTTGGACAGACTCCAGGTTTCGCCTCCTCATTGGGCCACAAGATTGATCTCAGTCCCGCCACCTGCCTAATACTACGAATCTGGAAAGCAGGATAGTAGATAAATGCATAATAGACGCAGAAAGGGCCATTTAAGAATATAGTTACTCTTGCCTTTAAGATTGAGAATTCTCTGAACTCAGACATATATATGGAGGGTAAGGACCTTCAGCGGGTCCCGGATTGTGGGGACAAATGAGGCTCCAGCTCTGTATTCCAAGCCTTTATTTCCCTCTGTTCACCTCCACCAGTCTGTATGCACTATAGTTTCTGTCTTAGTGCCAGTGTCTTGCACATTGTCATGGTGAAGAAGGTGCTTGATGGGTAAGGGTGTGGATTCTGCTTAACTCACTCAAAAGCACCGTGAATGGAGCCATAAGTCCTACAGAGGGGTCAACCTCATCTTTAACAATAATATGTTTTGAGTTGGTAAATGGCAAGGGTGGGGGGGGGGGGGGGGGGGGGGGGGGGGGGGGGGGGCACTTTGGGGGCCAGTGCCCCTGTGACCCCACCTCTGGTATGACCCCGACTGCATAAATGGTTATAAAAACAGAGGGATGGATGGATATAGACTAAGTGAAGAGAAAACAGTCTGGTTTACTAGATCAGAACCAAAATTGCTAAATTAACTATAACACACCAGTGCAATTGATTTCTGCGTCAAAATTTAATAACATTGAACTGTCTTTAACATTAGACTGTATACAATGAATGACCCTTTTTACTGCCATTACTGTCCACCAACCAGCAAAACCAGTGGGTTATAGTCTATTTGACCTCTGCCGCCTGCAGAATCTGGGCTGCCTGCGCTGCTAATTATCACGCAGATGCAAATCTAATTTGATACCGGCGGATATTTAAGTCCCTGTCAGAAAATCAGGCATGTGGAGGAAGAGTTGTCTCAAATCTTCATGCCATCTGTATGCGTCGCTCATTTCGACGTTAAGAACGAAATTGCAGCTGAGGGGTAAAGTGGGATACTGCATACAAATATTGGATCCTGTGACCTTGAAATGGACCCTGGCCTGTGGAATGATTGCAGTGCCATGCAGTCCATAATAAGGATTTTCTTTCTCTTTTCCCCCCCCTTTTTTGATGGGGGTCTGGGAGAGATGAGGCCAGAGGGATGGGATTTTTGTGGCTTTGATTTCTCGATCCTCTCCCTCGAATTCAGATTGCAAGAGATTTAGAGTTTTTTTTTTACCTCTGCTCACAGCGAGCGCTCAGCCTCCCCCGAACCCACGGTGAATATCACATTTCAGAGTCTCACAGTGGCAGCTTGTCTCCCATTTAAGCCCCATTACCTTGCATTAGTATAAAACACGGCAGCTGGGCCTGTTTACTTACAAAGCCGGACATTGAGTATAATGAGTTCAGATCAGAATCTTTATTGCCACACGATCAAGGCTGGTGGAGATTTTATTTGCTACAGCTTTACTACTGTCAGGGAGATGACAATAGACAATTAACAACTGCAAGCAGAGAATAAACACAAGACACAAAATGCATAATGTATTGGCGTTAATGGAAAGTATGTATGGTATCAGGTATGCATATACTACAACAACAAAACATTTTAGGTGTAAGTAATTTTCTTTAGGGTTTGAGCTTTGCAGAATTAGAATGTCCTGTATTGATCACAGTGGATCCCATTTACATTGCTTTTGCGGAAAGTGATGAGGTCACCCAGCAAGATGGTCCCCGGAGGTCTGTGCATCTATCGGATCCTAATCTCCCGATCTTCTCGGTGCTGGGGAGGAGGAGTGACCCACCGGGGGGCATTTCATAACAGGCAGAGAGAAAAGGCTTTCCTAAAATCTATTGACTAAAAGGGATTTTGACCATTAGGTAATGCGGAAAAACATCTTATCAAATGACATTTCTGTAATATGGTTTGTGTTACAGGAAGATCAAGAGCTCTGGCGGTTGTACGGTCTAAGGAGGCTAAGTGTTGACTGGTTGAGTTGAATGCTTTGGATTAAGATGCCTAAGAGGTACAGTGTTCTCTAAGTGTAGGGTGTTGAGTTGGATTAGTGAAGGGACAAAATCTGAGATCACTGAACATCGTATGCAACCTGAACCAGATGATACTGTGTTAACTGTATGTGCCCACACAGGTACAAGAGACAAGAAATTAAACGATATTGTTTTATGTGATTGGATAAGGTGGAAAAATTACACACTCATTTGTTTATAACGGCAGTTAGCAATTTACAACTTCCCCGTTTATTGTCCGTGATCTAATTTGGCTTTTAAGGCAGGGCAGTTCCTGTTCAGTCTCCAAATGTTGTGTCCACCAATAGGCCATAACAAAGGGGCCCTGGGGAATAACAATTCTATTATATTTCAATGACAAAGGCCTCTCTAAAGCCATTCAAAGGCTTCCATAAAAAGAAGCCTTATCATACAAACAGAGGACTGAACTGCCCAACCTATTCACTGTTTGGAAAAGGAGAATAATTAAAAATGCCTGTTTAAAATGACAATATAATTATAGCTTCAGTGATACATCTGGCCTTGTCCCCTGTTTAGTATCTGTGAATGAAAATCATATGCACAATTTTAATATTACAATTTAATGTATTTTCCATTTCGGTAGCAGAGAATGAAAAAGCTAATGTCTGCTCACATAATGTTTATGCATTATTGTAAAGATTAGCTTCTATGGTTGACTAATCAACACATATGTAGTTTGAGTGCTGTGAACAGGAGCCAGATATAGTAAATGTGACAAATTTACCTCCTGTTTCTGCCTGGATTTTTCAGTAAATAGGGTTTGATGCTGAGGTCTCACCAGTCAAGGATGGTGAAACACAGGCAGCAGATGAAGAATCTATGTCACATCCAATGCAGAATCCAGCCAATCAGACACCAGCCATAGGAGCTGTCATTCCCCAAAGCCACACCCACCTCATCCAAAGCCACACCCACCTCCAGGCAGTCACAGTGTCCAATCACCTACACCTGCAATCAGTGGACCTAAGCTCCTTCTGCTAGGTGTTTTTTTTCTCTCAGTCTGACATTCTTATTGGCTTCTGCTTCTCCGGTTGTTTGGTTCTGTGAGCTGGATTTGTTCGACTGGTTCAGGTTATGTCTGAATCTCAACAATTTCAGTTGCAGGACCCCACGCTTGGTGATACACTTCGAGACTCGATGCTTGAATCCTTCACACGTTGTGGCCTGCAACCCATGTTCTATCGGGACTAAAAATACTAGTGCTATCAGGGTAAATGTATCTCAGACGAGTCACTGTTTTTTCTCTTGTTACTGAGTATTTACACAGCCAAAATAAGGGAACTACACAAAGCATTTAAAAAAAAATCCTCTTATCCAGGAAAGGGTCAGAATGAGTCTGGAGCCTGGGTGTCACCCCTATTACAGGGGGACAACTACACTCTGTAGGACAACAGTTCGGCTACAATGCATGTCTTTGGGCTGAGGGAAGAAATGAAAGTACCTCAAAGAAGCCCATGTAGATCTGTGGCAGGAATCAGACCTAGAGAGACCATGCTGCTGCCCACTGAGCTACTCATATTATTATTGCTGTTGTTAGATGTATAATATAAATTAACTATAAAAAACAAACATTTCATACCACCAGTTACACATGGATTGTGTAAAGCAGCAATCCCTTATGAACCTATAAATAAGAAATAAGCAGTAATATATATTTTCGTATTTTTTCTATGAACATCTTGAAATGATAACACCTAACAATTTCGTCGCTCAGCCATCCGTTTTGTAATTTCGATTCGGCCTGCATATGAAACACAGAACAAATGGAGTGTGACACTGTACAAATTTACACAAAATACAGATTTTTTTTTTTTTTAAATGGTATTATAGGTTGCAGAGTTACCTCTGGGTTGATGACTCCGAAGCAGGGACTGAAAGACAGCAACAACTCTTTCTTCTAAAGGAGGTATTCATTCTCTTTTCTGGTTTTCATCTTTCAGGCAGACAGCTGGAAAATTGAAAGTGAAACCTATTCAGATGGGGAGGCTTAGATTGTCTCCATGCAACCAATCAATTCAGGTCACTCTTATTCGTACTAAGGGCACAAAACGTTCCCAGAAGCCTTAGTAGCGACATGTCAGGAACTCTTGGTGTTGCAGGTCCCCCTTACCTCTAACTCGTTAATGACGCCCTAATGAGGGATTATTAACATATTCAGTGCATCTGGAGAGTGCAGCACATCCTCTCTGCTGGATATTCAGCCAAAGACAATATATCTGTGTTGGGACCTAGCTAGCCTCTCCACGCAGACCAAGAACAGCTGTCCGCCATGGCGGAAAACACTTTTTTGTAATGTATGTTATGTGGTTTATTGTGTCTACTATGTAGTAATTGTTTCAGCTGAGGCATTAAATACATTAAAAAGTGTATTTCCTAGGAAGCAGTTTAATGGTGATTTTCATTAACCTACCCTACCTACCTAAAAAATATTTTTTTCAACAAATTCAGTTCCATGTGCCTCACTCATATAGCCCAGCACGGCTGCTACACACAACGTCTCAGGTGTGCAATTAATACGACCTGTGGACGTCACTGAATTATGGGAAATAAAAACAAGGAAGTAAAAGATGATACACTAAGATGCTTGCAATCAGTTGTGACATTATTAGTGTGCCTGTGAAATTAGGATTTTGTTTTAATCTATCTGATTGTGGGATCCTGTCTATAATGCAGGTAAATTGCGCGCGCCAGTCAACCCCTCGCATGCACGTGCAGCAATTTCGCTTTTGCGTTATTTTTAGCAGATTTTTACGCCGATTTTTGAAGTGTCGGAGTGGTGATGTTGAGGAGGGGAGGGAATGAGGAGGAGGAGGAGTAGAGAGAGGAGGGAGGGCGATTCGCGAGAGCTGGATGACAACCAGAACTCCAAGCACAAAAGACGGCCACGGAACCACGTCCTTCCCCCCATTTTCCCGGGGCGTTTCGTTAAGGTTTGTGGAGAAAAACCATAATCAGTGCATGTTTCGTTTTCCCGGAAATATGACTGGAGTAGTGCGTGTGCTTGCGTGTGTGCGTGTGTGCGCTGCATCTGAGACCCGCGATTGAAAGCATATCTCTATAGGGCTTCGTGATATAGAACCGAGCAGCTCATGTGCAAACTCGGTGAAAGAGGAGAAGCACGTTTGGTCATGCTTAGAAAATATATATATAATAAAAAAATAAAGAGTTGCTTGCTTTAGCACCACGTCTCCCAGAAAGCGAGGGCTCGACTCGCAGCGTCCAGCCTCCAGCCCAGCCCGTGTCTCTGTGCTCAGGTAGATGGAAGTGAGCTTCGCGGAGATCGGCCGGCCCCCACATTTACTCTGCCTCATTTAAAAATGTGCATATGATATTAATTTTCCACCCTCGCTGCCGTCTGAAAGCGGCTCCGCGGCGGCGCGCATGGAGCCCGGCTTGATTCGGCGCGGCGGCGGTGGGAGCTGCTGCGATCGCCGGTCGCGGGCTCGCGGCTCACGGTCAGATCGATGCTTTCGCTCGAAACATTTCCTCGGTGGAAATGTCCAATGGCAGCACGACGTGCAAAAGCTGCACCTGAAATCACGTCGCTTTCATGAGGCTGGACGCTTTGACAGAGATCGGCGGTCCGCAGTCCACGCATTTCCCACCCCCGAATCTCTTTACCATAACAGATGGACAGCGTGTTGATGTGTGATCCAGCAATATAAAATCATCATTTTCCTTACTGCCGTGTGTATAAGTCCAGATCTATTTCACAGAGCCCCTACTGCCCGTCCTGTGATATTCGCGTTATTCTGATACATTTTACTCTTATTAATTTCCCAGAATATTTCCTAGGCAGAGGCCTGCTTGTAATTATCTGCCAGGGTAATAGAGTGAAATTACCCCCGCTCTGGCACTGCAAGCCATGAATCTGAAAGTTTTCATTATGAAATTCAAATATATTTCTTTCTGGCAAATTATTACGTTGTCAGCTATGTTCCTTTAAATGATCATTAAGTTCATTATTAAGTGTGCCATTTCTGTAATTGGGGTTATCCGATTCACACTATAATTAGTTAAAAAGACACTATTTGGCTGTGATTATTTTTTGTGATGTTTTGAAGTGCAACATATATGTTATTGGATTATTTGGCAACAGCACAAAAGAATACAGTATTTATTAGTAACAGATTTTCAGTTTTCATAAAGGTTATGAATCCGGTGTTACAATTTGGTGGTATTGTGGTACGTATTTTATGGGAGCTGGAATATCCACAGGTAGCAGATGTGTCATGGATAGCTGTAGAACTTCCAGATGTTCCCCTGGAAAACAAAGATCTGGTACATCAAGAGATTATTAAACACCATTTTTATTTAGTCTTGATCTCACTCTTTGGCATTAGATATCTCATATGAATATTAGGTATAGTTTTGCTCTCACGCAATGTTTCAGCAAAATAAAACTGTAGTGGTCATCTTAGGTCGAAAACGTTATTCTTTATGTTGGCAATCTAAAACAATTGACCACTTCTATCAAATGAACGACGGTAGACTGTTTACACGTGAAACTGGCACATAGGTTACCAATCACGTGTAAACAGTCTACCGTCGTTCATTTGATAGAAGTGGTCAATTGTTTTAGATTGCTAACATAAAGAATAACGTTTTCGACCCAAGATGACCACTACAAAAACAATTTGGCTTGAGTATAATTTTAAACGACAGACAGTCTTGATTCATGAGAAGTCTCAGAACTCTAGGAAACATTTTGGTTGTCCACTTCAAGCTGTCATACCATGTATGGCAATTGCAGTCGTTACATCAATAAATGCTTTATGCTGCATCACATCATACATTTCATGACTATATTGCATATGGTATTTATGGTGATATTTTTGGTTGAACGTTTAATTAGTTTTTCATATGCAGCTATATGAAAATTCGGTCTCCAGCTGTTAGTTTAATTGAGGTGTTCATTGGATGGACAGAAAGATCATCCACCTGAATATTTAAACTTCATTCTAGTCCACAGTTCCTTTCAGGACAAACGCAGATAACTAATATTACAATGTCAAATTACAACATGGTGAACATGTTTCGAGGTCTTAAGTGGGGGTTGCTCTGACAGTCAGCATGCATCTGTAACTGTTATTATGTAACTGTAAGGACTATGAACTGTCAAATTATTTTTTGGCTCACTTGGCTATGTTTTGATACTTTGCTTTGTGTGGCAGGAGGGGGCATGAGGATCGTACACTTGTATCTGCTGTATGTCAGATTAGCTGAGCGTCCCATACTGATGATGTAATTAGGGTTCTTCCTGTTATTTGTCATAATCTTTGATCATATTTACTTGTCTGGATGGGATAAGAGGCTGGAAAATGTTGCTGATCCGTCAGTTGAGTTTTTAAAAGATAACAGTGGTGTAAAAATCGATTGGCAGCTTTATTTAATTGACACAGATGAAAAATTATAGCCAACTATACATCTCTTCATCTTCCATAACTTGCCCAGGGCAGCGTCACAGTGAGCCTGGAGGCTATCCCAGGATGCACTGGGCAGGGAACCCTCTGGATGGGGTACTATCAATGGGCACAGGCTATGCACATTTTAGAGATACTAATTTACCAAATTGCACATCTTTGCACTGCAACAGCAAGTTGGAGAATTGGCAAGAAGCCCTGCAGACACAAGGAGGACATGCAAACTCCATACGCATAAACCCTGGATTTGTAGAAGCCACAGTGTGACCCAGAAAGTCACGAACTCTAACTCAGAGGGTTCCGAAATGTTATTTTAATGTAGAGCGTGATGTAACCGAGTGTGGATGCATAATACAGTTTTGACAGTTTAGCCCAGTTAAGAATATCCTGGAATTTGCATTCCCGCGGCATAAATGTGCAGCGTGAATAAGCTGTGGCCATTTTTCACTGATGCCATTAGGACAGGAGCAGCGTTTTTTTATATAACTTACAGCGTGCGGATTTTTCAGTCATCGGGGGGACTGCGATAATTAACACGTTTTTTCATGCATGAACTGAATCTGTGGCAGTTAGACACGTAATAAGTGATTCAGTATGAGGTTGGGTTTTTTTTTCCCAGGAAGCTCTGGGAAACAGGGCTGTGATTGGCTGAAAGAAGGCTGGAAAAAAGTAGCGGAGTCTCTGCCGAAAACTGAACATGAACCCCGCCTGTGGGTGTGGAAGGATGAGCGATCTTCAAACACTGTCCTCTGTCCTGTTTCCTTTTCCTCAGGTTCTTTCTTTTTCTGAGCTTAGAGGCAGAAAACTCTTTCCGAAAAGAGAGCAGACTGCTGTGAAAGAGCCCGTCTCTTCACACGTGGCAGAGCCGAAGGGGCACAGGGACAGAAAATAAGTTATGAAGTATAAAATTGAGACGCTTTCCCCTTGCGTCGGCGACTGATGAATGTGATAAGATGGCTTGTGCTCATGATTCTCACACATGGGTGCAGTAGGTCTCAGTAGCTCTACGGCTCGTCTCTTTGTCTTTAGTAGTTCTTGATGTTTTTTGTGGGTAGTTTGTGATGTGTTGTTCTTCTCTGCCCTGTTTCTCTGGGGCTCAGATTTCAGCACCAACACACAGAGACACCTAGAAGCACATGTCTACAGTAATTTTGATGTTGTTTTAGCTTTGCTGCTTCGAGTACTTCGTCTGCCTGCCTGGTCGGGTGACCAGTTGCGTCACACGCGGTTGAGCCGTGCGCCGAGCATCAGCAGGGGCGGAGCCCTTGATGGAGGTGATATGAGCCGGCCTGCCTTACTCCAGGACCCAGGGGCTATTAGCAGTCTTACAAAAACTAGCGTGGACTGATTAATACATGCAAGTCTGCCCAGGATGTGCCACGGAAAAGGCGGAGCGAACTGACCAGATCACTGCAAAGAGATACTTTATTAATCCAGAAGGAAATTGCAGATGTGACTATTCTGCCAAGCGTGGGATTTGAACCAGCAACCTTCTCATCACGGGCACAGAGCCACATACTGCTGTGCTGTGCAGGATTTATTAGTTACTGAAAAGCTGAAAGCACCCATATTGTGTCAGAGGGAAAACAGAAACTTGTTTCTCACCGTGCATCTGCTGCTTTCCTGGTCTTTGCCACTTTTTTTCCACGCGCGCAACAGAAAAAAAGGCCGTTCTCACTCCGCGATAATTATCTCCAAATTGCCGGTGTGGGCGGTAGCAGCTGCTGCCACCTTGGGCACCCAGAGAGATCCCAGGTATCAGCGAGGCAGGTGGTGAGGGGTGGCGATGGA